GCAAGGGGAGGTTGTGCCGTGGTTTCTACCCTTCCGTATCAAAGATACGATGGTGTGGGATATTCAAATTAGGAATCATCCTACCCAGATAAAAAATCAACGACATAGGGCCTTCAATTTTAAAATTCCACCGCCTGGATCAAAGATCAACAGCGTGGGTCTTTGAATTTAAAATATATTCCGCCCAGATTAAAGATCAATGGCGCGGGTCTTGAGTGGGTACCTGTTGCTTTACAATTGTCTGAAATAAAAAGTTTTATTTAATTACATAGCCATTTATTTAGTTGCTTAAACTGATATTATTGATTGGAGCGGTCGTGTATGCATAAGGCAAGGGCAGGCAATTGATTTTACTATCTTAGATTAAAGCAATTGATAACAAGGCAATGTATTGTCTTGTATTAAATAATAGGTCTAGATAATCTGCGGTAGTTCACGTACAACGAGCAAACAAGTAAATTGATGTGATTTCTCTGTAGCTGGAAGTAAGCAACTTGCTGGGTGAAGGCGACTGGCACGAACATTGCGATCAGGAGTTCGGTCAAATCCCGGGAAGAGTGGATGATTGTGTTCACATGCGTGGGGTGTGGCCGTTGGACGAGGATTCAGTCAAGCAGGAGTTCACGTGCGTGAACGGAGGCGTGAGTGGCTACTTGCGGGAGTGACGCAGTTGGACGGAGAATGTGTAGTCAGATCGAAGGGGGTTGCAACTTCAGCGTGTCGCGTTGGCTCTGACTGGAGGCAAACCATACATCGAGCTCTAGCTTCAGATTGATCGACGTGTGTGTGCAGGCAAATAACTGGGGAAACAACGTATGCTATTCCGGGTAGGCTTGGACGCATCTCGTACATGCGATTCAGAGCTTTAGTTTAGGATTTAGGCAAGTTTTAATAAAAGTATATATAAAAACCATGTGAGGCGTATGACTCACAACAGTAGGGTGAGGCGGGCCTCAGCCAAGCTGAGGTGCAATCCTCATTAAAAATAGATTGAGGTGTAAGCCTCGAGGCATTTTTTACTGGAATTGCGCTGATGTAGGCCTCATATTGTGCAATTTTAAAGAATGATATCTAACACTCTCAAAATTTTTTTTATTGTTCTAACTTCTACTCCAAGCTATGATGCACCGACACGGACATGGCGACACAGACATGACATGACACGAGACACAAGAATTTTTAAAAATATAGGAAACGGGTGTGGCGTGGACACGGCATAATAATTTTTTAATATAATAATTTTTAAAAAATATATGACACAGACACAGCGTGGACAGATGGCTCTTTTGAACCTTCACCTAATCCACTCCCGCCAGCAACAGAGCTCATTTTGCTAACAAACTAATCATTTCTAATGAGATCCAGTGCACTTGATGTAATCAAAAATTTGGGAGAGAGACCCAAATTTTTTATCACAAAAAAGAAACTCTTTCTAGAGAATAAAAGATTACAAGAACTCACAAAAACTAGACAAATTAGACAAAACAAACTTTTATATCATATAAAGACTTACAAACTTTTGACTCTTACAAACAACTCAAACAAACGACTCAAACAAAACACCTGAAGTTGCTTTCATCCATTAGAAGAAGGATACAGGTGGAGTGTAAACTTGCGGATAGAAGAAAGAGATTAGGAGTCGAGACGAAGATTGGAAAGAGCCCGCAGGATTTCCGGAGGGGATGAGAAAGAAGCTTAGAAAGAGCCCGCAGGATTTCCAAAGCCAAAAAACCACTCAGGTTTTGTCCCAAAAATCACATTATCACACACACTTAAAACAACCCAAACATCTCATATATATAGGAAATAGAGGGGAACTAAACAGCCCAATAACAGCCATTAAAATCCAGCACAGGAAACAGGACAGCATTTCGGATTCCAGCACAGAAAAAGACAACAGCAGCTGGAGTAATAAAAGCCACGGTAATCATGAACAGAGAATTCCAAACGATAGAGCCAATATCAAGAAAAAGCCACGGTATACCAAGGCAGCATTTAAAAGGGAATAAAGGCCACGACAATCAGCACAGAGAAACCCCAAACGTCATAGCAGTTCTCAAGGGAAAGCCACGGTGCAGCATTTAAAAGGGAATAAAGGCCACGGCAATCCAGCAATCAATTGAAGGAAAAAGGCAGCAGCTCAAGAGGTAAAGAAGAAGAGGAAGAGACAAGTTCCACTCACCTAATAGCTTGCACCTCATAATGAATTTAGAGCTAAACATTAGCTTATAATGAACTACTCCTCCACATGATAATAATGAGCTTGCACCACTAAAATTTCAACAACTAAAGCTCAAAATCGAAATCAGCCAAGGCTCCATAGAACTAGAAAACAGCCCAAAGGATAAGGTGGAGATGAAAGGATAAGTTAATGAAGAGCAAGGAGAGAGGGAAGATGAAAAGACACAAGGGAAGAAACCAAAAGTAAAACTCAACTTGTTTTGACCATCAGCACTCATGCTGGTATGATTACACTCTAAATTATTTTACACCATTAATAAAAATTATTGTTGAAAATTTATTATGCCAAGTCATTTGGCATGAAGTATTTAGTTTTTTGAAATTGAAAACCCTTATGTTGCTCCACAATCACTTCTAGTACAAGGCTCTACTTCAATAAGAATATCTTTAATAGCTTCAACATACCTATAATACATATTTTCAACATAATTGCCAACAAATAAATTCTCAAGGTACTATAATATATGCGTTTGCAAGATCAATAAAAAATGTATGATGAGTATTTTTCTATTCTATTTATACCATTCCATGAGCTACCTAAGAACAAAAATTGCATACATGATAAATCATATGGGCATAAAACAAAATTTATTCCCCGATAGAAATGTGATTTTTCTAAGACTTTGTCAAGTAACTCATCTATAATTCATTATTACATATAAATTAACTTTCCTAATAAGCACAACAAATCTAAATATTTCTTTCATTTTTAAATAGGGGCAACAAAATTCTTCTTCTCCAAAAGATTAGCTAATTCATTTTCCATTGCATGCATCTTTTACATCTCAGCAAAAGATTAGCTAATCATACTACAAAAAATTCTAAAAAATCTCAATGGATACATCACATCATCTTGTCCTAAATATATATCATTATTCATCTGTTCAAAGCTAACTTAATTTCACTTCAAATAGAAAAAAACCAATCGTATACTTTACAATAGATCGCTTTACTCATATAAATAAAATCCTAACTTCAAAAATTTAGTTTAATAATTTTTTGAAATAATACTTTTCCTTCAATATCACTCTTAACACAAATTAATCAAAGTCACTATATCTCTAATAACAATGACATGTCTTAGCGTCTTACAGTTCCTTAAGAACAAAATAACTTATGCTTGGAATGTTACTCAAGGAAACGAAAAAAAGTCAAACTAGAAAGTAAAATGACAAAAAAAAGGAAATGCTAGCAGAATTAGCAAGTGCTTGGATAACCACGATTTTCTTATGTCTTCCACAAGAAAATTAATTCAAGAGATCAGCACAAAGACAACTATAAAATGAATTTTACATTTTGTGCTGCGACCATGATATAGCACGTAAGTCTAAAATAGAATGGAGTGGAAATTTTACAAATAATAGCAGCTGAATTAAGTCGAGCTTGTGACAAACCACTCCCATGCCATGACCAAAAGATGCTAAAAAATTAAAAAGATTTTTTTTCATATTTGAGAAATAGGGAATAAGGCACATCAAATGGCGCAAGTCTTGAACTATGTTGTGGAATAGATGACAAAGGACACAAAATGACAGTTAGACAACCTTCAAAGCGTGTTCATACTTAATGGTGCATGGCCAAGCAAAATGTAAAAAAAAATGGTAACAAGGGGCAGCATAAAGTATGAGAAAGTTTCAGGTTTATATTTTTAATGGTGACAGACAACTTTCTAAGAGTGTTCATACTTCATGGTGCATGGCCAAGCAAAATGTAAGAAAATGGTAACAAGGGGCTGCATAAAGTATGTGAAAGTTTCAGGTTTATATTTTTAAGGGTGACAGACACTAGAAAAATTTTTGGTGGCTTGATGCATGAATAACTAGACGACTCGAGCACATGAGCACAGACATGGAGAAAAGAATGTAGACATGACACAAAAAGGCTTTGAGACAATAATTTTAAAAGATAAAGGCACGTGCAATAGGAAGAAAAGAACATTTCACACTCATAATTATAGAAATTTACAGCCCAATGAATGGAGCTCCCACCAATTTGAGGTCTAAAAACGGTTTAAGAAAACATCATTATCCTTCAAATTACAAGACATCTAGATCATAAAAGATAACATAACCATTACTCCAAGCCCTCTTTCTATTTCCCAATTATAATATGCTTCTACGTAAGATATGATAATTTAATAGGAGTAAAAGTATATTTACAGTTGTCATAAGCCATCTAATCAAGTAGGAGAGTAACTCTCATAGTTGAAGTGCCATAGTGAGTGTAATAAGTATCTGAAGCGCATTAATAATGTGCCAAACAGTTATTTAAGAAGCGTCCACATGGTTTATATGATGTGTCAAACTTCCTTACAAAAAAAGTAAAAAATGAGATGAAAAAGGCAATGTCCAATAGTAACATAAAATTTTCAAGTGATAGAAATGAGGATGAAATCACCTAGTGATCATATGCTCTATTCAAGTGTATAGCTGTAAGCTATCGGGCATGAACATTCCAAAAAAAAATTATAAAAATATTTTCATAAGAAAGATGTCTCTTCAAAAAGAGCAACATAATAATTGCATAGTTCATTCTATCAACTGCAGGGTACTAATTGCATACCCCAACTAAATTTTACCGAACAAATTTCTATTTGCTCCTCAGTAGAATAATTGAATGATACACAGAAGAAGTTTATATATAAACATGGCTATAAATAATTGAACATTTTGACCATATTGGTTGCTGTATATTTGACGAAGAGTGTGAGTCTATATTTTCTTGTCAATCAGAAATTATCAAAGATTATGAGCACATACTTTAGGATAGCTTTCAACAACAAACTATCATGTTCTTCCCTCCATATTCTTCCTTTCAAACCAGGAAACCATGACTGTATGCCTTCTGCAAAAAGGGGAGTCCCAGGATTTTCTGAGAGAAAGCTCAACTGTAATTTGATAAAAGAAAACACCATAAACATTGGTCTGTGATACAGCTCAAATAATGCAACATAAAAGTGAAAACAAATCTAACTTTAAAGAACAAACAACTATCATTATCAGGTAGAGTAGGCGGTCTAATGTAAATCTCAGACTGTCGTCAAAAAAAGCTGGTAAGAGAATTTTACATTTATTTCGTATTTAATAGTATAAAAGAAAAATGAGACATTCTCCATGTTTGACATGTCCGGAAATATTTGGCCTTCTTTGGCGGAGACTGTAAGAATGAACGTGCACAATAACCCACAGAGTAGACATTAGAACAACAATGCTAGCAACATTATCAAGCATTGCAGTTTTAATAGAGCGCTAATTCTAAAAAAATTGATAAGGCATGGTTTATTTACTAAATATTTTGATACATGAAGGTTTTTTTTTACGCCTGGACCGGTCCGGTTCTACGCCCGGCGGTCCAAAGCCGGGCGGAACCTGTTCGCAAAAACGGCGGAAGAAGAGCGGGCTAGGAGGATTTTGAGCGTTTCGTTAGATGGAATTTTTGAATGAGGAGGGTGTTTATGTAATTTGTATCTTTCCTTTTGTTTTAATTAGGGAGATGGGGGGAAATTAGGGTTATCTTGAATTTCAGTTTTCTCTTTGAGATCTAGGTTTTGTTTTGGTCTCTTGGCTTCGCCGGAGACTTTGGAGAGTACGTTCTTCCTCTCGAATTGAAGAACAAATTGTATCTTTGCAATTTTATTCGTCTACTAATAAAATACTAGTCTTTGCTTGCGTTGGATCTCAGTTTTCTCGCGTTCCCTCACTGTTTTCCTGTGTAAAGCTGCTGTCCACTGCTGGAGACAGCAGTTTTTCCCTGGTTCTGCTTCAGTTTTGGCTGGGAATTACTTGATTTCAAGTATTTCCTATCAAATTGGTATCAGAGCATCGTCGTGGGACTTGTGGCGGCTGAAAATCAGGAATTTCAACGGGTTTTTGGAGGGATTCAAAGGGGGATTTCCGGTTTCTCGCGGAAGATAAGATGGTCGGAAAGAAGGTGGAAGTATTGGAAGGCGAGTTCGGACAACTAAAGAC